AAGGATACAGAACAATCGCATGTCCTTGGATTGGACATTGAAACAGGCTGCACTCAGCGCTCATAGCAACAGTGCTGGAGTCATCTCATAAAGGACATACAGCACCAAAGCAGAGTTTGAAACAATGAATCAAGTGCCTCTTATGTTTCTATTATCCATCCATCCATCTTCAAACTGCTTCTTGCAGCCAGATGTCATCCACACAAACACAGCGAGATCATGCAGACTCTACACAGACAGCACCCCAGGTCTGGAATTGAACCCAGGGCCCCAGGGCTGTGAGGACAGGAATGCTAACCCCTGTGCCATCTTGCCCCCATGTTTCTGCTATTTTAGAAACACTGAAATGTATTTGATTTTTTTCAACACCTTAACACATTAATATATAGGTGCTTTCAAGGACTGCAACAATCAAAATGCTTAGAAAATCAGGACTTCAAGTTTCAGCTCTACTGTAAGATGCTTCAGAAGGATGGATTTTTTTTTCCTAGTCTACCCAGTTTATAATTTATTTTTAGGTTTATGATGGACCTATAAGTCCCTAGATTTATTATATACTGGGGCAGTGTAGCAGAGTCTCTGGACTCATGACTCACAGGTTGTGGCTTTGAGTCCATGCTGTAGACACTCCTGTTGTACCTTGAGTGGGGTACATTGCTTCAGTCTGCCCAGCTGTAAAAGTGAGAACCGAGAAAGAGCTTGTGCCCAGTGAGTCAATGTGAGTCTGTAAGGGAAATAGCTTACCTACTGTATATAGTACAGATAAATTAAGCCACTGTGAGCTTTTGCACGTGTGTTTTGCAGCTGGTGTGCAAGAACCTTTTTAAGATGGTGCACATGTTTCTTTTGCCATGTCAAAATCACTTCTCAAAAAAGTAAAATAGTAAAAAAATAATCCTAACTTCAATCCATTTGATAGAAACCTTGTTTTTCCAGTGAGCCTACTCAGATGGAACCTCTTCGATCACGGGGACTGATTTAACCTTTTCAATGAAGAAAAGAAAAAAATAACTTGTGCAATGAAAAGGCAATAAAAAGGGGTTGTTTTGAGAAAAGGGTAGGCGAGCTGTTTCAGAATTAGTGCAGATAAGTAAGGTGAGACATTGGATGAAAATGAAGTGATAGACAGACAGACTGTTGGGTTTTTCCCCAGTATTAGTGAATCAGATTGATTCTAAGGACGAGTCTTTTACTCAGAAAAAAAGTGGTAGAAAATCACGTCATCACTGGTTTTATTCAGCGTCATAAATGTTTATTGTTGGAATTATTACAGCTACCCTGAAACAACATTGTGGCAACACAATTCTTTAAGACTACAGGAGATGTGGCCAAAACTGTCAAATAAAAATATCTTTATATCACTACGTTGCAGAAAACAAATATGAATAAAATACAGAGAACGGAAATGAAAAATAAAACCTATATTCAACAGAATTGTACTTAATTTTGATATTCGAAACACAGACAGGAGGATTGTGCGCATAGCGTTACTGTGCGCAACCAGAAAATAGTACTGGAGCACATTCGAGACTGACGGTATTCAGGTGATAACTTGGGTCAGCGTAACGTGTCATATTTCTCATATTCTCGCTTCATGTTCGTCAAATCCCAACTACAACCAAACTACGATCTCACACAACAGTGACCAGAATTTATTTTTTCAAGGGGTTACGACGAATAATGACCCCGTCAGCAAACCTTCTTGTATTTCGCTTATCTAACTTTGTGAAACCCCCCGGCGTCCTCGATATTTACACTCCAAAAACAAAGCAGCTCTATTTTAGGATTGTCACTTTTCTTCCACTTTATTTTTCGGTTCTACTTCCCACTGATTTCTTAAATCTGGAAAGATTAGAAATAACTACAATCATAGACAACTGAATAATCAATCCAAATAGGCCGCGTGTAAATACGAATATATCAGTAGCACTTGCATTACAACGCGCATTCCTCCTCTCAGGCTTCTGAATCACTGTCTGGGGACAGCAGCAGACATTCGTTTGGCAACCTATTAAATTGCCGAAAAGGCTTATCTTCACCAGCGTTCGGCTCGAATGGTGCGCAAACACGCCACTGACGACCCATTGACGCAGTTACAAAACCAGTTAAGGGAAAGATTTTAATCGAAAATGTAATTAATTATTCAATGGTTAACAGTAAAGCAAGATTACTGGACTTCTGAGGCTCGTGACGCGCACCAAAGCCGCGGTTCGCGCGATTTGGAGAAACTGCGTCCAACGGCAGATTAAAAGTCCAAAAAAACAAAAACAAAACAAAACGGTGTGCTAGAACTCGGGAAAACTGAATAAATAAGGAAAAGCATTCTTCAACGTTGCCAATATTTTTTTTTTCTGTTAGATCGCATTTTGGATGTAGAACCGTCACACTCGCATCTTTTAAGGGTGTCTACATCAGCAGTTCATTATTTTTCCAGCCCACTGTATTGTGTTAATACTTATCAACAGACCGTGCGTGATAAATTCAGATAAATCCGTTAACAGAGGGAGTCCTATCAAAACTGGCCACCTTCTCGCGTAGCCGAATCCGCTTTGTTGACATTGTCCGACTCTTTTTTTTGGGCCCTGGGGCGCTGTCCAGTCAGGGATGGTCCATTCGGATCACCACCCATGTCCTGCTTCCATTCCGTTCCAGCTTTCACGCGTTCCTTATTAATGCAGGAAGTTGCTTAGGTGGTAAAAATGACCATTTCCCCCTCTCGTTTGAGTTAATCGCCACTTACAACCAAGCCCGTAAAACCTGTGGACACTGGACACCATCTCCTCCAGTCCACAGCTACTACGTGCAATTTTGTACAATTTACCTGGACCCCAGCAGGGGTCGCGCATTATCACGCTTGGCCTCCCCACAAAACCTTAACGGGCACTTTGTTTTCAGTGCTTTTCTCTGGCATGTGTCGCGACCTCAGTCTGTCCCCAGTGAAGGAGCCAGAGGAGGGCAGAGGCAGAACATCGTGTGAGACAAGCTCCCCTGTGTCTTATTCCTTAAAGCTCTGTGTTTGTTTTTTTGTTTCCAGCCTTGCAGTCTGGCTGAAGGTCAGCTGGCCAGAATACCACACCGGGCCTGGCTAGCCGACCTTCAGCCTCCTGTTGAACAGGGCTGTCCACACACCCACACCCACATGCCTGCGCACAAAAGAGACCACGGCTGAAGACCCACTGCAGAAAGACTCAGTGCAAAACGTTTTTGCAGCGGAAAGGGGGAAGAGAGAGAAAGAGATGAGCAGGCGGGAGCTGCTAGCTGTCCTGTCAGAGAGCTCATCCCGCCACAAGGCTGTCAAGACACGAACGCGTCAGAAACCATAGCGGCGCCAGCTCTTACCAAACAGCACCGCACAACGAATGCTGTCGGTTTTCTTCCTCGCCGACAGCGGCCTTATTATTTTTTTATTACACTTATTTGTACTGGGCTGCAGGATAATGAAAAAAGAAGACTCTAGGGGTCAGCAGCTCCTGTTCCCTGTGTGTTGTGCGTTTGAGCCTCGCTCTGCTATTTATCCTTGGTTTACACGTTTGGAAACATACTGGGGAAGGCAAAAAACCCCGCAAAACTCCATTTCAAGCACGACAGTGAAGGGGAGAAGACTGTTCTCTGCTTCAGATGGCTCTGGCTGCATCAGAAAGGAAGAAGGAATCCTTCCACCAAAACAGGAGAGTCACTGCAATCTGTGTGTGTGGGGGGGTTGTCCATTTGTGTTCAAGAGTCTTAAATAAAACAATTGTGTATTCCAATTTAATACAAAAAGACTACCATTATGCTGAGCAGAGGACTTAATTCTAAACATGCCTTTTAACACTGGGAGTTCCTCAGGAGCATGTGTAGTAAGATCCATAAGAACGGACAGTCCTTCTTTTCCCCAGTCAAGTGCAACTCCTGCAACTCACACACTTCTTTATTTACTTGATTACTAATCGGGCTTTTTATAGAGCACTTCCTGCTCTGATCGCATCTTCAAGCTGCTAATCTTAGCTTGTCATCAGTGTAAAAGTTTAAGAGGCTGCACTTCTGTAAAACTTAACCTCGCGCCTTTGGGCTAGCCGCACACCATTCTTTCTTTAACTAAGAGTTTCACAGTCCTCTCGAATCCCAGTAAAGAAGCAGCAACAAAAAATCAACTTGACTTGACAATGACCTGCATGAATAAATTACCCCCCTCCCCGATGTTATTAATTAATTAATCCTGCCTATAATTGCACCACTGAATACTATATAAACCACTTTCCAAAAAATTCCCTCCCACATGCAGCACTGCATATATGACACTAAATGCACCACGCCATAACCTGAATCCTCATAAAGTCCCATCTCCGCAAGCGAGAAGGAGCCGACAGCTGAACACGGCTGTACAAATTCAGGAACGTGAACTTGTACTCTCCTTGCATGGACAGCGGGGCCTGCCAGCTCTTGCTTGAAAGGCTTGACCACTAAAACCCACAGACTGCAGATGTAGATAATAGAGCCCTGACAGCCTGATGGCACCGAGCGCAGGGCGATGACACCACGCCGGTGGAAATAATGATGCACTGATTCTTTGTGCACAGACAATGAGAAAGCGCTGACACGCTGTGAAAACCAATCCCCGGCTCTTTTGAGCAGAACCCGATAAGTCCCAATTAGAGGGGGGACTCTTTAGTCAGACAACAGAGGCTCGGCTGACCCCCCCTCTCGTAAGCGGTTCAGACAACAACAACAAAGGGAGGCTCGTGTCTCCCAGAGCTTTTCAGCAAGAGGTAACCAGATCTTCCTCAAATCCTTCCTCTCCCTCCCTCTTGCTGAAGAGCAAACACCTGCTGCTCGTCGGGGAGCTAAACCTCCGCCGCTAAAATAAATGAATCGACACCTGCCGTCAGTCCTGCCTCGTCTCCGATGTCGTATTTTTATCACATGTGGCCTTAAAGCGGCGGTATGTTACTGTGCTGTCACACCAGCCCAGCCAGCACACAAGTACAATGTTTTTGAGTCTCTTTTGTTTCTGCACTTACATTGTCCTCTGGCCCGGGGATTGCTGGGATGCCAGGTCATGATTCCTGCAAGGACTCTGTCGTCTAGATCCAGTCTGAACGCAGCCAGCACGAATGCCCTGTGATCCACTGGCAAACCGCCTCCATCTCCTATGACCCTTTGAGCCGTGAGCGAAAACAAAGACCTCCTTTCGCTCAGAAGTTGACCCCAGCCAAGAGCTGCACGCTTGTTTGAAAAAATCACAGGCCGTGCGGCTGCGTGTAGCTGTTTATCGTCTTTAAAGGAAAAGGAAGTCGAGCTGCGATTTGTTGAAAGGCTCTTTTTTTTCTTCGCTCAGGCATTTCTCTCAGCTGCTACCAAAACAGGTGTGACTCGTTGGACCGCATTGGAACAGACAACTTTCTATGCAGCAGGTAGAAGCCCTGACGAAGCCACCCCCTTCAGACACACAACAAACCTGCTCATGCACTTTCAGCCACACAAATGACTTCTCCGAACGTGTGCACAAAGATCCGGTCCTGCCCAGAAATATTCCACTCCTCCGTGATGGATGCACTGTCTGTCCATCAAAAAAACCCAACGAAACAAAACAAACTTTTGTTGTCGGTTTTCTCTTTGTCTGAGGAAATTCCATCCAGAAGTCTCTTCGTTTCTACCCCTCTTGACGCAAGTGAGAACTACAAATTGTTCCTCTCTCAATCCTCATTTTGTGTTCTTGTGACTTTACCTACGCCTCTGTACATTTTGAAACAGAAAGTACCATTTTGCTTGCTAGTCAAGACCACAGCCGATTCCACTACGCCTCTTGGGCGCAGAAAGCTTTGCATGTTCTCTGGAGGCTTGCAGTAGTTCAACCTGCACTCTTCTCCCATGGAAAATGACATCACTCCATTTTAGTATTTAAAAAAACAAGACCCTGTCAGAGGTCTCCACGATAGCCTTCTGCATTCCTGACAATGTGAAACACCCCTCCCCCCTCAAGAAAGCTGGAATGATCCCATTTTTCCACACCTGGGGTATACATATCAGCCCTTTGCCAGGCGGCAGGATTCACAAGGCCAAATTCTACCATCCCCTCTTTGTTCTCTGCTTTGCGGTGTCGTGGTTGTGTTGCACCACAGCGTTCTGGTGTCAAAAGTTTCCACCCAGCATCTTGCCACTGAATTACAAAAAAAAAAAGCTACAATGTAATTAAAAGTGCAGTCAAACCGAAAATCCTGGCGGGTGACACGTTTATAAATCCAGTTCATTCACAAATGCAGGCATTTTTCCGGTAGAGAGCCCAGTGCAGTCCTAAACTCCCTCTCCAGTGCGATCCCCCTGCGAGACACTTCTGAACAGAGCTTTTGAAAGTGCCGCTCTCTAGCTCTAGAGACTGATCTGACTGTAGCAGTGTCTCGTCGCCGGGCGGGCACAGTGTACTAGCGTTTCAAGAGCTACATCCTTATTTCTGTTCTCATCACATAACAACAGACACTGAGGCACTTGGCATGTACGGGGTCCTAACTTTTAAAGGAGAGCTACAGTAAGTGTAGTATATTCTAGCCAGCAATTTTCACACATAACCTTTCTATTGATTTACTGGTGCCCTACAAGAATGCATTAGGCTCTGTAATCCGATACTGTTGGGGTTTTTTTCCTAGACAATGAAACAGCTCTTTCAGTGCTGTGCTGCTTACCCTTTGAGCTCTTAATTAGCTCTAACTGAAGGAGCTAATGTGTTCGCTTGCGTAGTAAAAATAATCGGCTGACTTCCGCTTTGTCTGAGGATATTTTTTGGAGGTCTGTGTGGTGTTCTGTGCAGGAGAGATTCGCTTTCTCCACCGGTAACTTTCAGCTGTTTCGCTTTCTCCGATTTTGTCCAGGTGGATGCTGCACATTGGTGGTGGTGGAGGGGAGTCCCCATTACCTGTAAAGCGCTTTGAGTTTAGTGTCCAGAAAAGCGCTATATAAGTGTAAGCAATTATAATTAATTATTATTATTGTCCATTCAGTACTGCCCCAGGTGGTCCCCGGGTGTCAGCTCCCCTGGGTCGGTGTGTGACCACATGACGACGTTTCCCGACGAGACCAGAGTTAGGATTTGGCTCAGGGCAGCCAAGGGCACCAGCACGATTCACAGAAAGCAAAAGGCAGGTGACTCTTTGAATACGCCCAGCGCGATAACTGCCCACATTCGTCTGTGACCTGTGACTCATGGGCTTGTCCAGCAGGGGGGGCGTGAATTTGCGTGCAAATGAGAATAATAACGTGGCGGTTGGATGAGATTGGAAACCTGGGAACTTTTTGTTTTTTTACGGCAGGGAAAATCCCGGTAGCCTGGATGGCTGTGTGAGCACAGGCTGAGCAAAGCCTGGCGTTTGTCTGCCTGGCCACCACGCGAGCTGCTGACCACAGTGTGTGTGTGTTGTGGTGGGGGTTTCCAGACCTCGGGCTGCTGCTCTAGGACCTCTGACGGAGCTGCAGTGCTCACTTCTTCGTTGCTGCCTGCTCGGTTCTGCCGCGGGCGGTCCTATCGTGTCAGGCTGTCCTGTGGCGGGGTTGTGTACAGGCCTTTCAAGCCACACAGAGGAAAGAGTCCCCGTGCCAGGCGGCCTTCCGGGGGCATGCTGGAGTGCCCGCTGAACGTCTGTACCGTGCAGTGTTAGCAGAGGGGTCTCCGGGGCTGGCCCAGGTGAGGGGCCCGGCGCGTGGATGCCCAGCCCGGTTAGCGGCGCAGGCGGGCGGCGCCCGGGGCTCCAGGGCAGCAGCAGCCGAGCCGCGGAGGAGCTCCTCTCTCTCGCCCCCCCCGCAGGGCCCCCACCGAAGCACCGAGCCCTGAGGAGCAACTGCACATTCCAGGCGGTTTGAGCGGGAGAAAATGTAAACACATAAACGTCGGGATGCCAAATAACGGGCAGTCCATGTTTTTAGAAAGTCAAAGGGGGGGGACAAAACGCCTCCGAAGCATCAACTCTAAAAGACCCCAAGTAGATGCAGACCACACGTGAGAGCAGGGGAGGTCGAATCTTGAGTTCCGATCCAGTCCTGCAGGAACTGTACGCCACCCTTTCAATCGCACTTTCCAAAGACGCACAAAGGCGTCCCGGAGGACATCATCTGCAGCAGGAATAATACCAGCAGCACCCAGCCTGCTGCCTTCCAGGGCCTGTACTGGGCCAAGCCCTCGTTTTTAACTGAGCTCAACTTGCTCAGCTTCGCTCTGTCCCAAGTCCTTGACAAGCCGATGATTGAGAGGGTCTGAGAGGGTCCGCCGGACTGTGACCATTTCGCACGGCGGAGGGGCGGGGGAGGGACTGCTTCATGCCCCAAAAAACGTGCCAAGACCCAGCCCGGTGAATCATTCCCGACAGCTGGCTGACATTAACGCTCGGGCTTTGTTCGACAAGAGCCGGCAGGTTGCGTCAGGAAAAAAAAAAAGAAATTAAAAACGACTCAAGTCATGCACAAAAGCGAACTGGCCGAACACACCGAGCAGGAGCCAGACCCGAGGGGGCATCAGGAGAAGGACCTGCTGTCCCTGCTGGGGGTTGAGAACAACACTCCTGGATGAGGCGACTGGCTGACAAGACATCTGTGCAGGGCTTTTCTTTTGGGAGAATGTTTTTAAAAAACCATTATAATCCCCCCAGGCAAGCTTCCACATGTTTTCCAGGGTTACTAATAGCTTTTTTTTCTTCTTGGCTGTAACTGCGAGTGGCACACATTCAGCAGGGGGGAGCATGAAGAGACTTGTACAGAAGGTGTGATGCTCGCATCCGCCTCAGGGTGCCTCCCAGCACAGCCTTGGAAGTGCGCTGCCGGTCTGCTGCCTGAGCCCAAGCACACAGCAGCCCTGCTGCCTCGTCCCCCAAAAGCACATCGAGACAGAGTGTCTCCAGGGGTCTGTACAACCCCCCCTTCCCCTACACGCGGTGGGCATGCGGAACGCAGCAGTGGCTCTGTGGCTAAGGATCTATGCATGTGGGGGGAAGGTTGCCAGTTCAAATCCCACAGCCGGCAGAGGAATCCTACTCCATTGGGCCCCTGAGCAAGGCCCTTAACCCCAACTGTTCCAGGGGTGCTGTACAATGGCTGACCCTGTGTTCTGACCCCAGGCTTCTCTCCCTGTCTGTGTGTCTGTGTCTCATGGAGAGCAAGCTGGGGTATGTGAAAAGATGAATTCCTAATGCAAAAAATTGTATAGGGCTAATAAAGTGATGTTATGTTATGTTAGGTGCTCCTCGAGAGCACCTGAGCCCGGTCATTCGTGGGATCTCCCTGGAATCAGAAAGAGGGAGTTCCCCACCCAAGCAGGGGTCTCTACAGTTTAGATTTCAGGTGGGGGTGCCGTCCCACCCGTAGCTCTGCCGGGCGCTCTGAGCAACGCGGCACATGGTGGAAACAGACAGCGGCCGCATTTTAGCAGTGAGCGGGGCAAACATCGGGAGTGTGCCCCCGTCTCCACAAGGCCTGCGAGATCCTGCCAGCGCCGCGGGGACAGGCGCGCTCTGAGCCCAGCGCCCGTGACTTCGGCGAACTTCCTACGAAAAGGCAGTCGCCCACGCTCTCACCCCCCACATCCTTTGCCCCCCGCCGCTGCCTCCCCGCACGCCCCTCTGTACAGACCACGCAGTTTCAGAATCACTGCACCTAGTTCCGTTTCTGGTGCAGCCCAGGTATTTCTGGAAACGTGACTCATGGTTTCCAGCCGCGGGGGGCTGGGCGAGGGATCCCCGTCGTCACGCCACCCCCTTCTCCTCTGGGGAGCAGGGGGGCTGCCGATACCCACTGCTCCCCCAACACGTGGCACACCGGCCCCGCACCCCAGCCTGGCATCGGCTCCAGCCAGAGACGGAAGCCGGAACCTGGATCGGCTCCCCGCCAGAGCTGGAGCTATCATAAATAACCAAGGCCATACAACTGCTAACAAGCACTTCCTCATTGTCCTTCCGGACACAAATCTGTCTGATCCACCAAGTGTGGTAACAGGGAAAATAAAACAGCCTTCTTATCTCTCTGTAACTCCCACTGAACCAATACTATCTTGAATCACTGGGGCTATCTGTGTGTGTTTTTTTTTAAAAAAGGATACAACATTTTAATCATTGCTTAAGCATTCCTTGTCAATAGAACTGGCCATAAACAGGCAGGCAAGAAGCAGGGTCGATGGCACCTAATCAGTTCAGTTTACAAGGCTCTGGGGTGATTCGGGACAGGAGGCCAAGCTGAACTAAATGCCATTTTGTTGCCTCGGTTATCTGCAGGGGTGAGTTTTAACTGGTCGGCAGAGGCTCTTTTCAGGAGATGAAAAACAGAAGAAGCAGCTCCCACTCTGGGCACACAAAACACAGGTCTGTTTTATGACACTGGCTCTGTTATCTCCCTCCATGCCTGAGCAGGGCTCTTCAGTGCCAGACAGCACTGATAAGACCAGGCCACTATACCTCCACCAAGGCCTGCAAAGCCCATACAGCTTCCTCTGAGATCACAGCACCATGTGGACTGTTTCTGTTTTCTGTTTCCTTTGCGTATTTTCATGGGGGGAAGGGAAGGTGGGTAAATCCCAAAAACTTTTCACTGAGTCACTGCATAAACAGACCGACGGCCCTGTGCCACAGAACTGATGTATCAGAAAGGAGTGTCGCAATGTTTTTTGTTGTTGAGCTGGGAAAGTCCTATTAGCCTTTCGGAGTAATAAAGGTACACAGGTCTCCTCCATATCAGAAGCCACAGAACAACTGCACCGTCTGCACCATCATTCAGGCCCTGCATGTGGACTGTCTGTCTTTACTATCAGCTAGATAAACAGTGTAATTGCTGTCATAGTTATGTTAATTGCTGTCATTAAGCTGCAGCCCAACAGGAAATTGCTGTATTGTGAAACAAGGTGAGGATTTCTACCTTATCTCTTGCAGGAGAAATGCTAGCATGGGGAAAAAAAAGCTTTGAACAGTCTATTTTGCACCTGTTTTGTGTTTTCCCCAAAGAATCTGTGCGAGGCACACATACTGAGCTACAGCAGGTTTTATAAAGTATGTCTTTAGAAAACCACATTCATTATTTTGCACCGTGGTATCAGATGTAAATATGTCAATCTGTTCCAAAAGTCAAACGTTTTTATCGGTTGAAAAGCACATAAAGAAAACGAAGATGGTCTGGTTCTCAGTAACTGCAGCATGACATGTACAATCTTGAGATCCCGTGGGATTTTACTGCACGCGACTGCTGTGCGCATTAATGAGTCCGCTGTATTGAACCCCTGCACAACGGACTCTCTCGCACTGCATACCTGAGCACAGGTACGTGTGCTTCTTTTCACCAGGTTGGCGTTTTTGTAGAAAGAGGATTTGCCATTTGTTTTTTCCCCCCATCATCTGCGGGCACTATGCTGGATCTGTCATTTCAACAGCTTGGTTAGATCCTAATGATTGCAATGCAG